GGTTTTTTTTTTATGATATCTCGTAAAGTTTTGCGAGTCTTCCTCTACCCTGTTATTCAAGAACAGTGAGGATCCAAATCCTCATCTAATATAATACCCTTTGTATACCTTCCTCAATCAAATCCAGGAGATCCACCAAATAAGTAGGCCATCACATTGGTTGGTATGGCAAGAGGGATATGTGTATCCGTTATTAACTCAAAATTCTTCAAGCTAGTGAAAGGAGAAGACCGACCACACCGTAGAGGAGGATGAACCACAGACAGAACCTAGGAAAAATCAAAGACAGACAAAGAAGTTAGTTCAAAGAACGGTAAACAATCAACTATTAATTAATTCAATGGCTTTGGTCATTGGATCGACAAAGTTGTAACACCCCAAATTTCTAACAATTTATAATAGCATAAATAAATTCAATAATTTTATAAATAACAGCGAAAGTTCAAAATGATCAAATTTGGGAAGTGTTACCGCCACACTTGTACAAGGACAAGTGCAAGGCTAACTCTATTACATTCAAATAAAAATCTAAGACTACAGTTTTTTTTTTTTTTTTTATACATAATATTTATGACAGCTAGAAATATCCGAGTCGTGATCCTCACTGCCCACAGCTAGCCCTATCCTTTGCAACATGCTTCACTGAAAATCTGCTCCCCCGCAGCCGCAGGATCATTACAGTCAAACAAACACAAAAGTCAGCAAAGCTGGTAATCCCAATCAAGATACAAAACGAGGATAATATAACCCAATATCAATCAAGACATTTATTTAAGAATAATCAACTCAATTAATATTTCGAATATGTCATTTATTCATAACTCAAGCAATATTCAAATATGTCATTTAATCATAATCAAGTAATAATTCAAATAAGAAGTTTAATCATAAATCAAGCAATAATTCAAATAAGTCATTTAATCATAACTCAAATCAAGTATTAATATCATTATTAATCATGTTTAAGATTATTTAGTCCATTTAGTGTATAAGGGTAATTGTCAACTAACATATTTAGCACAACATTAATCATATATTACATAAATGGTAATATTCACAATTCAATGACATTCATCATAATCAAATCAAATGACGTTTCATTATTAATCATGTTTAAGTTCATTGTACTTAGTGGGAAGAGAACCATGGTAGACCCGGGAAACCCTGCCGGTCTACCTCGTGACCCGGGAAAAAACCACTGTTACCAGCCACGTATAATCAAAATTGGCCATAATCAATTCACATCTTCCTAGTGTGCACACCTCTTCCCAAAGTTGCTACTAGTATCCCGGGAAACCCTGCCAGATACCACTTTGGAAAGAACGGATACAATCTTTTTCACATCGAAGGCATAAAGCCCAAAAGTTGTGTTCATCACCTTGGAGGTACCATCCCAAAGCTATCCTCCCACTATTAATTATTACAATCACACACAATCAATTCAATCTTGTCACAATTCTCATAATTGTCAAATAGTTTTCATGATTTCCACATCAATTTAATCAAGATTATAATTTCCAAAGTCAATCTTTCAATAATATCATAATTTCCAAATCCATTATCCAAGAATATCATAATTTTCATATTCAACATCTACCAGGGTAAAATTCAAATCCAATCATCATATCATAATTTTTCAAATCAAAATTCAAATATTCATATCTATTAGGATAAAGCCAAAATCCAATAATTAATCCAATTAATTTATAGAGGTTAAAATAATTTAATTTAAATACCCTAAGGGTACATATAATAAATGAAAACATTCTAAAATTTCCTAAGGATTAGGATTACATATACATCAAACATATAACTATCTGAAGATTAGGATACACACAATAAAAATTTCATACACAACGAATCTACAACCACCTAGAGATTAGGATTACCTGGTCTCCGTTTTCGCTAACTTCTAGAAAAAAAGAGTAATTTGAGGCAGAGAACCGGTTGGTAATCAGAAGAATATAAAATAAAATAAACTAAGTTTTTGAACTAAGAAGAGAGAATAGTAGAGGAGAAATGTTGAAGAGTGAATTAGTTTGGTTAGGCTAGACCTCTATTTATAGTTGAAGTTTAGGGCTTATACATTACTGACTCAATGCTGACTCATCATATCTAAACAATCTATGTTTGTTGACTCATCATATCTAAACAATTTATGTTTGTTGACTCATCTCATCATATCTAAACAATTTACGTTTGTTGACTCATCATATCTAAACAAATTACTAATCAATCATTACTAATCAAACATAAATACATAAATCACCAATCAATTAATAAATCAATTAATCATAATTTATCATATAATATATATATATACATATAATTATATATTATCACATAAATCAAATAATATTACTATTATTATCTTACCTCTTATTATTTTAACTATTATTAACTCATTAATTAAAAATATTAAATACAAATATTATTAATTACAAAAATACTAAATATCATTATTATCCAAAAATATTTATTATTATATTATTATTATTATTATTATTTTATTAAAAGAAAATATGGGGTATTAAAGTAATATACTTACATGAATGATACGAGGTGATAAGGATACAAACTTTGCACTCCCCATCGCTTCAAACAATTTACTCAGCTTAAGAGACAAATTAGTGGCCTTGGTGAATTCTTCGTTGGGCCGAAAACCGCCTAAATCAATATTCACTCTCTCTACAAAGGAAAGGTTTCCCTTAATGAAAAAATCACAAAGATAATAGTTGTCACTATATCTAAAAGATTGAATCTTTGGAGTAAAAAGCTCAATCGCAAAGCCTGATTCCTTTCGCATATTGGATATGGTCAAGTCCGTCAGCTGGGGAGCATGGATTTGAAACTTGTGAATATTGCCAACGTAAGAACAATCAAGTAGGGACAGACACCTCAAATTGGGACAACCGCTGAAAGGATCATTCTCATGGACCAGATACTCGAACTCGCATTGAAAAAGATACAAGTGTTGTAGGGAAACAGAATCAAACATTGCGCTGTTAGTTACTATGCCTGCCAGGTGCAGGGTGGTGAGGGAGCGACAAGCAGAGAGTTGAGGTAGATTCCAAATAAAACATTTAGTAGTGATGCTCAGATCCTGAATATCTGTTGGTTTAATGTAGTCAATGATGGAATCTACGATGTCCACATCATCAAGAACATCAAGAAGATCGTCGAACACGAGTTTAAGCATGTTGAGATTGGTGGAAGCGTCTCTACGGGACAACACATGCTGCACGAAACATTGGAAAAGGACAGGATCATCGAAGGACGAGTCGAGGAAATTGACGACGGGGAGTGAAGTCCAAAGGGACCTCCATCGCTTGCTGAGAACACTCGTCTGAACTGCTATTTTTGCGTCCGAAAAAGAAAGTATGTGAAGGATAATTTCATCTGGCAAGTTACTTAGTCTGTCCTCCTTCACTTTTCTCTTCTTCTTCTTCTTCTTCTTTGTGTTTATGTTTTCTTGTGTTTCCACCCTCCAACTCTCCTCCTCAATCGAAGCCTTCATCTTCCCACAAAAGAATCAAGAAACGCAAGAACCTCTTCTTTAATTTCTTTCTCTTTTTCAATCGTTTAATTAGAGCTTTTCTACTCCTAATTTACAGTTGCTAGCTGTTTATATAGATATTGATTTCCTTGGCAAAACTACCCCTTTAATCCTAACTTCAAAATTTTTTGCCAATCTTTTTGAAATCTTTAATCAATTTTACATGATTTTGATATGATTTTCGAAATCTTTCCAAATTTAAAAATATTAAATTTATTATCAATATAACTGATTTGGTAATTGAATTTTTTTCTTTTAATTTTGACCCAAAAAATTTAAATATTATATATTATTTAGTAAATCATTTCATAATTATTTTTACATTTAATAAATAGCTCTAACATTCAAAATATATACAGATGTCAAAATTGACTAGCCAGTCCCATTTGGTCCAAGCCCGTGTGGGTTAGGGTACAAAAGCCCGTAGGAACAAATGAACCTCAATAATAAAGGCCCGGCCAAAAGCCCTATTGGTTAGGGCCAGCCCGCCAGCTATCTAAAATTATAATTGTATAATTTTTTTTATCATATTCAATACATTAAAAAATATTTTAACAAATAAATATTTAACACTTTCTTGACATATTTTATACAAATTATAAATTTTTTTAATAAAATAATATTTATACACAAATATACAAGTGAAAATCTAAATAAAATTTTAATATAAATGAAAATTTAGTTACTACTTTTACTAACTTCATTATTAAATGATACTATCAAATAAAGATTTTCTCAATGGGAATCATAAAAGAATAGAACAAATACAGTGGAAAACGAAAAGTAATGATGGAAAAATTATCTTAATACCAATATTGAATAAATGTTCTTAATATGCTATATATTTGAAAGTAAAATCATTGATTTTTTAATATTACTATAGTTACAAAAAAAAAATTGTTATTATTATCCACAAAATTACTATAGAACATTGTATACAATATGTTTTAATACAAATTTGGATATATAACATGCTTAAATATCAATAGAATTTTTTTTATGCGCATATAAAAATATCTGTCAAAACATATCACTGTTGAAATATTCATTTTTGTTGTAAAATATTATAATGAACTTTCATATGGTTTATAACACGAGACTCTTTGGTTTTCATGACCTTTGATATATTCTATAACCATCACACTAAAGGTATGTTGAATTGTAATTGTAGAATACATTCAAGGAGGTTGTTGTAACGCCTCAATTTAATAATCGGATTGTTAATTTACTAATGGTATAAAAACACATAGAACTTGATTACCGTAGCAGAAGACTTACTATTTTTTTTGTTGCAATTTATCAAAGTAATTTCACGATGCATCTTTTCCTTTTAATTCATTCCTATACTTTGCTATATCTATACTATATGCCTTGTATCAATAAACTGTACAGTCTCATACTCGTACAAAATTTCAAATTAAATTTCATGTGATCATAATCAATGACCAATGACTATACAGATATGATAATTTATACCATTCCGTACAGAGTCTAGCGGACAGCATAACAGCTGTAAACTGGACAATTAGCACTATTTAATCTTGTACCTGATAACAGACAATTCCATATCCAATGTATGTAAACTGAAATATGGCTCGGTGCCATTCAGATTACATCTACCGTGTACAAAACATAAACATAAAGATCATGTATCTACAATATACAAATACCCATAGGCAAACACATGCCTATGAAAATGCATGATCATATACTTCTTGCACTAGCAAAACATGTCTATCCAGACATTCAAAACAACTAAGTGTCCATTCCTATTGAGTCCTTTATCCTCACTGCACTGGTCTTTTTCCCTTTGAAGGTTCTCTTGCTGCTGATGTACCTGTAATTTAAATTACAACCCCATGACGGGGTGAGAAATGAATCCTAATAAGACTCTGGGTTTAAGGAGTAATCTCCACCCATGAGTTCACTTTCTGTATGAAAGGTCAGATATAAAGCATATAATACAACATGCAATCCAATCAATTTATCTCACTGAATTAATACATAAGCATTATACTTCCTCACTGATAATAATACAGAAGCATTTGTACTTTCCTGCCTGATGATAATACGAAAGATTCATACTTCCTTGCCTGGTGATAATACGAAAGATTTATACTTCACTCATGACAATGTTACGGAAGAATTTGTATTTTCCACTTGTTACCATAACGGAAGCATTTGTACTTCCCTATCCCACTTTCTACCTGTCTACTTGCATTATATCACATCACAATATCAATGTCTATAAATTAAACACATTATATTACAAATTCACATTACAATACCATTGTACATAATTTAAACACATCATCAATGTATTTGTCTATATGAATGCACTTATACTATCTCACTGTCAATCATATATACAATTTAACCATCATCCATAATGGATTTTGGTGGAACAACAAAAATAGAGAAAATTCTGAAACCAAGAGCTTACTTGTAAAAACTCAAATCCAATGCTTACTTGAACCCCAAGAATTAATCCAATGCTTCTAAAACTTTTTCTTCAACCTATGTACCATCAAAATATAATTAATACCAATTCATGCCACCAAACAAGTCATAGACAATTTCTCAATATTTTCAAGATTTATTACTTATTACTCATCACCTTAACTACAAAACTCTAATATAACCAACCTATATACAAGACCCAAATAACATTTCATGCATTTTCTTTGGTTCTAATACTAACCAATCATCATTAAATGTCCTAAAGATCATGGTTTTACATAGCCCATGAATTAAACACTTGATTTGAACAATTAATTTTAGGGAATTATGACTCTTCTGTTGCAGGTAAGTCTTTCTCTTCTGTCGGTGAGATAAAAAATTACGTGGGGCCAGTGTATAACAAAAAAGAAAAAAGAAAAGTTGTTTGGCACAGAAATCGAACTGTCAGCCGAAGATGTTTCTTCTTTCCTGCTGCATAAGACTAATTTATCCCTTAATTTTATATGGCCGAAATGCACACCTCATTTTCCAACATTGACATCCTGTGTCATTTAATTCACGAAAATTCCATTTCAACTCTGATTGATCTGAATACTTGATATGTTATAGTAGACACATGTTTCTTTAATTTGCAACAAACCAATCTTCATTTGGATTCATATAGCTTCAGATATGATTTTTCTAAAATGTCATCCCCAAATTGACATATAACCAAGTTCATACATCATTTTCACTTTCTTTGATTGTTCCACCACTTGAATCTTAAATCCAATCATACCATGACTTCAATTTCACTTTGAAATTATTACAAACACATGGTGTACCCTATTTAACACTATATGGCCGATTGGTTTCTTGAAAAATTACTAATCCCACAAGCTTATTTTTAATCCTTTCTATGTACAATTTTACATAGATTTAACAACCAACCTCAAAACCAATTAAAACCACATGAAATAACATCAATTAATCATGATATTGTCAAACCCTAACCCGTCATAAAATGCTTAAAAAATAACTTCCAACCATCAAAATTTAGATGTAATACCTTGAATAGCTTCCTTGAACATCATGCTTTCTTTTCCACCAATCAATTTCTCAAAACCCTAACTTTCTCTCTAGATGAATAGTACCAACCCTCTTTGAATGAATGTTTCTCTCACTACAAGGCTCTTCAATAAGAAAAGAAAGAGTATTTAGGTTCACAAGACCAAAAGCTACAACTTTTATGTAATAGGTTTTATCTAAAATTGCCTAGAACCACTTGAACTCTCAAGCTCTCTCTCACTAACCTATGTCACGACCATGGATGAGATAAGATGAAGAAAATTTTGTGGTTCCCTTTAGGAGCAAGAATATGACCGGTTATTTGTTGAAAAAAATCACTAAAGTTACTTAACTTTACACTTTACAACTTTACATCAAAGCTTAGTTCCTATTGGTTGCTTTTCTTCACAATAACCTTGTCATCACCTTGTAAAGATTCTAGAATACTTCTACAAGAAAGAACCACTTGACTTTGAAGAAAGATGACTAGGATTGCTTACTTGTCCATTTGACACTTTTAGACTTTCAAACTTTCCATTCATTGGTCCATTTTTTCAAGACTAGTCAAACTTAATTCTAATTAGTTGGTCAACACTAAACTTCGACTTTTAAGAATATATAACATACAAGGTCACAAAGAACCAGTTTACGAACTGAACCATTTTGAACCGAATCGAACTGTTTCCGAACCGAACCGGACCGTTTTCAAACCGAAACGGACCGTTTTCAAACCGAACCAAATTGATTTTTATAACTTTATTTTTTAATTTTTTAAATTTTTTCTTTTCAAAATAGGATCGACCCGAACCGGTGCCGAACCGTTTCTAACCGAACCGAACCATTTAAATCAATTCTGTTCGATTTTTCAAAAAATTCGGTTCGGTTCGACCCATGCACATCCCTAACGGTAATGGTGCTCTTGATGGGGTAAGATTTATGTATTTCTGTATCGCTATCTTTCTTTCTTTTTTCTTTTCAATGTCTATTATCAGGGTCATCTTGATTTTCTTGGATTCATTATTCATGTACATATGTGTGCAAAATTTGGCATATTTAAACTATGCCAGAAGATTTTTGTTCAATGTTCTTTTGGTGTTCCTTCCTGCTATTGTTTGTAAGGAGAAGGATTTAGGGGGTGAATTGAATCGAATATACTAGATTGAATAACAAAAGTTATAGACTATTTTCATTCAATGATCACTTTTTCATCGGTCAGAACTTGAGCCCTTAATGATTTGGTGTAGCAGTTTTATGCCAGACAAGATTTTATATATGGCTGGATCTCATAACTCGTCAACTACAACACAATTTTTTTTTTTATTAATTGCTAGTCCAACTTGGCTCACTGACATTTGGAAGATCACAATAATATACTTTCAAACATCAAAACCATCAACGTATAGAAGACAAATTCTAGTTGTTACCCTTCCTTAGGAGTGAAGACAAACTTCACTTAACCATTCGGTTAATCCATATCTTGCTACTAATATGCTAAAATGATTAAATTTTGTTCATACTTCATTAACAATATTTTATTAATTATTTATTCTTAATAAATTTTAATTATTAGATTGATCAAAATCAATGTAATAAAAAAGGAAAAGGTTATAATTACTACTTTTTTTCTTACTACTTGTTACTACTAAATTTTAACCGTTGATTTTCGCCAATCTAACGATTATAATTTATTGGGTCACACTTATTAATTAATTATTAATTCGAATAAATTATAACCGTTAGATTTACGAAAATCAACGGTTAAGATTTTGTAGTAACAAGTAGTAAGAAAAAAAAGATAATAACTATAACTCCTCCCAATAAAAAATTATAAAACTATGAGCCGGCCCAAGGTAATTCGAAGCGGATCTTGCGCGTGATCATTGAGATCTCACGTACGGTGGGTTCCGTTGGTGTGATAGACGATCACTACCGGAAAACTCAATCGAACGGCAGGGAGTGTCGCCACGTGGAAAGCATCAAGCGGGTTGTGGAAAAAAAATGAAGGTGGGTTGCACGCGTGTGGGGCTGCATGTGGTGCTGTGTTAGGAAGTGGTAGTGAGGAGGACACTGAGAGATTGAGGAAATATGGGTTTTATGTGGGGATGATGCAAGGAATGCTGCTAAATGGATTAAGGGAAGAAGTTGAAGAGGCAAGAAATTTGGCACTCACTGAATTGCAATTTTTCAAGGATAGGGATATTGATGCAATTTCTAGTTTCATTAATGTCTAAATCTTGATTGATTAATAAGAAAAGCAATTAAGATTATCCCAACCCAACTCAAACCTAGTATATAGTTATTCGATTATTGCTCATGTGCAGGGAGCAATGTTTTGCTCGCCCCCAACTAGGGGAAAAAACTTTGATAAGAGTGAATTTAAAATATATATTATTGTCATGCTCTAATAAATAATATTTATTTGGAAAGTTATTTGTTCCTACTAGTGTCATCTTTTGTTAAAATAAAATAAAATTATGCACTTAAATTTCAAAGTATTTTTCGAGAGAGATTTATAGAACCACGTTGCCCTTTTTTTTATGAGGTCTCTGAAGATCAATGGGTCAAGAGATGTGCACCATAGCAGTTAGTTGCATAGGAGACAAGAAGTATTCTTCACAATTTGTGCCTTGTGCAAATGACCAATGAGTTTGCTTAATATTTCACAGCACCAATTATTGAAGCCAAGCGACATTCATGATGACAATTCATAATTATTAATTAATACGAAAAGGACTCAACCTGAAGGGATATATAAAGCTCAAAAATGAAACTTGTGCGAAAAGAGAACACAACAACACTGTTGGTGTTAATTGATTCAAAGATAATTCTTGTATGGAACGAAGTAGAAGGAACTACTAACCCATTCAAGAGTCAACACACGTGCCAAATCATTATAAAAAATTCAGGAAAAAAAATTACTATTGTGTTACATTTTTATTTTTGTTTTTGTTTTTGTCAATCCTTGGTTTTGATTAAGCTGAGATTAATTCCATCAACTTATTGCTTACACAGATATGGTAAACACATAAAATGCTCTGTACCATACATATTTTAAAACAAGAAAGAGATGTCCAAGTTTTACCATTTTCGCTCTTGCTAACTAATTTGTGGTCAGATATACAATTGTGGAAGCAGAAATTTGACCGAAGTGATATAGTTTTAACAATGAAGATGGATCATGAAACATACTTCCTAACAAATCAAATTGAGGCTTAATACAACAATAACAACGATGTCTTATCCCAGGAGGGGGAGTTGAGTACATGAATTATAATCCATGCCATTGAATTCTATAAAAAAATAAAACTAACAAGAAAACCATTTAAAGCAAGGTTTTTTTTTTATGATATCTCGTAAAGTTTTGCGAGTCTTCCTCTACCCTGTTATTCAAGAACAGTGAGGATCCAAATCCTCATCTAATATAATACCCTTTGTATACCTTCCTCAATCAAATCCAGGAGATCCACCAAATAAGTAGGCCATCACATTGGTTGGTATGGCAAGAGGGATATGTGTATCCGTTATTAACTCAAAATTCTTCAAGCTAGTGAAAGGAGAAGACCGACCACACCGTAGAGGAGGATGAACCACAGACAGAACCTAGGAAAAATCAAAGACAGACAAAGAAGTTAGTTCAAAGAACGGTAAGCAATCAACTATTAATTAATTCAATGGCTTTGGTCATTGGATCGACAAAGTAATATACTTACATGAATGATACGAGGTGATAAGGATACAAACTTTGCACTCCCCATCGCTTCAAACAATTTACTCAGCTTAAGAGACAAATTTGTGGCCTTGGTGAATTCTTCGTTGGGCCGAAAACCGCCTAAATCAATATTCACTCTCTCTACAAAGGAAAGGTTTCCCTTAATGAAAAAATCACAAAGATAATAGTTGTCACTATATCTAAAAGATTGAATCTTTGGAGTAAAAAGCTCAATCGCAAAGCCTGATTCCTTTCGCATATTGGATATGGTCAAGTCCGTCAGCTGGGGAGCATGGATTTGAAACTTGTGAATATTGCCAACGTAAGAACAATCAAGTAGGGACAGACACCTCAAATTGGGACAACCGCTGAAAGGATCATTCTCATGGACCAAATACTCGAACTCGCATTGAAAAAGATACAAGTGTTGTAGGGAAACAGAATCAAACATTGCGCTGTTAGTTACTATGCCTGCCAGGTGCAGGGTGGTGAGGGAGCGACAAGCAGAGAGTTGAGGTAGATTCCAAATAAAACATTTAGTAGTGATGCTCAGATCCTGAATATCTGTTGGTTTAATGTAGTCAATGATGGAATCTACGATGTCCACATCATCAAGAACATCAAGAAGATCGTCGAACACGAGTTTAAGCATGTTGAGATTGGTGGAAGCGTCTCTACGGGACAACACATGCTGCACGAAACATTGGAAAAGGACAGGATCATCGAAGGACGAGTCGAGGAAATTGACGACGGGGAGTGAAGTCCAAAGGGACCTCCATCGCTTGCTGAGAACACTCGTCTGAACTGCTGTTTTTGCGTCCGAAAAAGAAAGTATGTGAAGGATAATTTCATCTGGCAAGTTACTTAGTCTGTCCTCCTTCACTTTTCTCTTCTTCTTCTTCTTCTTCTTTGTGTTTATGTTTTCTTGTGTTTCCACCCTCCAACTCTCCTCCTCAATCGAAGCCTTCATCTTCCCACAAAAGAATCAAGAAACGCAAGAACCTCTTCTTTAATTTCTTTCTCTTTTTCAATCGTTTAATTAGAGCTTTTCTACTCCTAATTTACAGTTGCTAGCTGTTTATATAGATATTGATTTCCTTGGCAAAACTACCCCTTTAATCCTAACTTCAAAATTTTTTGCCAATCTTTTTGAAATCTTTAATCAATTTTACATGATTTTGATATGATTTTCGAAATCTTTCCAAATTTAAAAATTTTAAATTTATTATCAATATAACTGATTTGGTAATTGAATTTTTTTTCTTTTAATTTTGACCCAAAAAATTTAAATATTATATATTATTTGTGGTCAGATATACAATTGTGGAAGCAGAAATTTGACCGAAGTGATATAGTTTTAACAATGAAGATGGATCATGAAACATACTTCCTAACAAATCAAATTGAGGCTTAATACAACAATAACAACGATGTCTTATCCCAGGAGGGGGAGTTGAGTACATGAATTATAATCCATGCCATTGAATTCTATAAAAAAATAAAACTAACAAAAAACCATTTAAAGCAAGGTTTTTTTTTATGATATCTCGTAAAGTTTTGCGAGTCTTCCTCTACCCTGTTATTCAAGAACGGTGAGG